GCTGAGGGGTGGGAGGGGAGCGCTGACTCCCCCACCGCGTCACTGCTGGTGGGGGGGGGGGCTCGGCTTTGCGCAACCTGTGACAATATAATTTAGAGCAAAATTTAAATGGGAAATTAAAAAATACTACAGCAGGAGGCCACAACAGCAATATTTAAATGCCCACACTGAAGGATTAAAGCTGCTGCATGATAAACACAGGTAAAGATCTGTCCTGGTTCATAACAAAAGTGAAAAGTGAATCATTTCAGTATTATAAAACAGGCTGTTCATCAAAACACCATCTAGCTGCACAGTCTCTAACCATACACTGTGGAACTGTGACTAATTTTAGGAAGCATCAGATCTCTACCAGAAGACACCAATATGTTATTAACTTCAACTGCAGATTCTGATCAGAATGCATCTGTGGATTTGGTTTCATTCCTCGCTGTCCCTTTATATAGGAGGATGAGATGCACACTTAGTATTTAGATTCACCATTTACCACAAAAAATGAGTACCCAGTATCACTGACTTGCAAGCACAAATGACTTTTTGTCAAAAAAGGCCTTACTGCAAAGGCATTATAGATGTCCCCCCACTGACATTCCTTGTACTGATAGGGCTAAGCCGCTCAACAACACTCACAGATCCTACCATACAAAAGTATTGACACACATCACAAGAGCACCAAACAAACACGTCTGCATATCACAACTGTCAACTGTTGCTGATGATAATTATGATTGTTGCTATTTTTGTTGTTAATGTTGTTGCTGCTGCTGTTATACTTAAAATACAGACTCCATCTACTTTAAATATGTCAGACATAACCTCAGAATTTCGCACCATGACTATATTTGCTAACTGTTCACCAATAGACATTTCATACAGAATTAACAGGTGTGCTTATGACCTATCTCCATATCAAACTGACCTGTCCAATTCCAAGTATTCATTAATTATGGGATTCAAATCAAAAGTCAAATACATACTTCATTCAACTGTCATTTTGTTCTTTTACATTCTACAAAAAAAAAAATAACTTGATTCGAGCTGCACATTTTTCCAGGATATGTTACCATACATAATTTCAAGATTCCAGATTTAATGGCATATATCATATACCAATTTCACAAGTTTGTGAGCCCTCTTATCATCGATTGTCACAGATTAAAAAAGTATGATGTTGAGGTGGCCTTTCGGCATAATGTCCTTGGTAAATTCCATAAAACTTGGTCACCTGCTTCAAAATTTGAAACTGGAAACATACAGACAGCATGGTGATCTCCTAAGCATATTTTCTGTGAAGAGAAGTAGAACAAAACCAGCCCTAACTGCAATGTGGAATGTATAAATTCTACTGGCATTACTCTTTATCACATTAACCCTTTGACGTGGTCATTTAAATTCCGCGGCCGCGGCTCCTGCGGTAATATATTCAGCCGGCCATTTAAATTTTGCTCGAAAATTATTTATTCATCATTGTTCTTAAATTCTATGAGATAGGAACATGAAACTTTCACTAAAATGATCTTAAAAGGTGGTTTTATAACCTTACCTTATAATATGAACCCCCTTTATATCTTCAATGGAAGCAGGTTGTTTAGTATTTGAGCAGTGAATGGTACGCTTTGAAGGATGAAACTTTCACTAAAATGATCTTAAAAGATGGTTTTATAACCTTGCCTTATAATATGAGCACCCGGTATCTCGGCTATGTAAGCAGGTGACGCCTTGAAGCATTAGTCTAAACACAGCGCT